AGAATTTAGCTTTATAAAAGGAAATGATGAACTTTTAAAAAATCAATCATTTATTTTCATTCAAAAATTCATAATAGTGCTATTTCCCTGTAGAATTCTTCCAAATATGACAATTTTTAATTAGATCGAAATCAAGCACGATGACTTATAATTTTATTACGTTTTTGAAATTCGTTAAAGAATTAATTCAAAATTTAATCTGTCCTAGTCGAATTAAGGTATTTATTGAGATAAAAATCAAATTATTGTAAAATAAAGTAAATACAATACTATCACTATGATGACAACGTATGACATAAAACTAACTATAATAACCCACTTAATACTTTAGCATCATATATCTTCAAGTTTAAGGGCCCATCAAATGAAATGAAATGTAATCAATCAGAGTGTAATTACATAAACAGCATTCGCAAAACTTGCTTTGCGCAGACTCATAAAAGTAAACAACGTAACTGTCAAAATACATGATGACTCTGTAAGATATGAGGTGTAAATTGTCTACATTTAGAAAAATAATATAGCGTCATCAAAGACTATGTGTTCACTATATTGATGATGTAATAGTTCTTCATTTCTTCCAATTTTGCCATAGGGTCTGAACAATATCTAGACCGGCCTTTTGTTGTGCCGGTCTAGATTGTTTGAAATAGCATACATAGGAACGCTTTTAGACAGGTGCTGCATACTCCATAAGGAGTAAATAAAATAAATTTATAATAATTATATGGACAATAGTAGAAAATTTTAATTCTAATTACTTCTAACCTGTTACATGTACATATCATTGCCATATCAAAATGGGATCACCAGGATATTCCGATCATTTAAATTTTGATTTCGACCAAAATAAAGATTGTATCTCTCATCAATACGTATCAAAATCTTTAGAAATAGACCAATTGAAATAATGAAAAAAAAAGTTCCATGGTTTGCATGAAATTATCAGTGCCGATGTTTTATATTCTGCAACTCGCCGAAACTGCCAACCTTCCAGTTGCTAGTATTTTCCTTAGATCATTATCTCAAACGATTGCACTGCAACATTTACGTTTTCAAATAGAGTTATTGTACTTAAACACAGGTTTCAACTTTCTAAGCAGCCCAATAATTAAAAGTGTAATGTAAAACTTATGATCTTTCAATAAAAGCGTTACTAGGAGACAACACTTTTAAATGGAAAAACGAGTAGCTAACGTAAGTCAAGTAAATATTTTATTCATGTGTTGTTACTGATATCACCCCCGGTTTCTAGTGGGGTTCGTGTAGCTCAGTATTTTTCAGTTTTCTTTGTATTGTTTTTATACTGTTCTTTTTCTTTTTGGGCGTTTTTTTTTGCCATGGCGTTGTCAGTTTGTCATCGGAATATGAGTTTGGATATCCCTTTGTTATCTTCCGTCTCTCTTTTATTGATAAATAAAGGCAACAGTGGTATACTTTTAGTCATAATTTGATGAAGCAAAAACAAATCCGGGTAACAAACTAAATCCGAGGAAAACACATCAACTATAAGAAAACAACGGAACAACAGAAACACTATAACAAAGGCAAACGCCAATATACATAGAAACGGACTATCTGATAACAACTGCCATATTCCTGACTTGGTAACACTTCCATAAATAAAATGGTGAATGTATGTTAAAAAGGTGCTATGTGGTTATTGTATACAGGAACATCTATTTCATGATGAATATAATACTATGAAAAGACGAAAATGTACACAGGGCACGATTACTTTGACTAATCATGTATGGGAAATTCAAACGATAAATATTCACTAGATCCATACTAGATGGGATGAAGTTAATTTGAGCAAATAATTGATTGATACTTACAATATTCAAAGGACTGCATAACTCGATCTTGTTGTAGACATTTGGCAATGATATCCTGATTTCAATAAAAACCTAATAACTGAAAATAAGAAATATAAAACCAACGTCTCAAGATGAATTTGTGCGATAAATGAATTTTCTAGCTCATATAAATAAACGACTTCTGAATTGAAGAATGATATACAAGTCCTGATCTGTGGACAAAAGATAGATGAATTATTTAGTTCACAGAATATTTGGTCGTCAGCAAATTGTTTTTTTATAGCTTTGTACTAAAATTATTTCTACTAAAACTAAACATTTTAGTTTACTACAGAAATGCCTTTCAAAATATGTTTTATTAACATTGATTTTATTAAACGTAATGACCTTTGATAAATGTCAATCGGAATCTGTAATTCTTCTGTTTTCAGCGCAAATTCTTAAATTAAATTGCGACAACTATAAATTGATATGCCTTTAAGGGCCTTAATTAGGTCAATAGAGACAAAAAGAAATATCGATATGTAATTTGCTATTTTACAACTACATATCTAAAGCGAAATAAGTTGCCGAATTCATGCCTTCTGAATTGAATTATAGTCTCAAATTTGATTTACATCATATTAAAATCTATGCATAAATTTCTGAAAAATACGTTGTAATGACTTAGACTTATCACCAGGTTTGTATTTACATGAGCAACATGACGGATGCCAGATGTGGAGCAGGATCTGCTTACCCATCCGGAGAACCTGTGATCATCCCCTGGTTTTTGGTGGGGTTAGTGTTGCTCAGTCTTTAGTTTTCTATATTGTGGTTTGTAAACTGTTGTTTGTCTCTTGGTCTTTGTATAATTTTGCCATGGCGTTGTCAGTTTATTTTTGACATACGATTTTGAATATCCCTGTGGTATCATTCGTCTCTCTTGTTAACTATCAACATTTCGTGCGTATTGGATCTTGTCGCCATCTAATTAACCATCGACTTGATCTTTGAAGATTGTTGATCGGCATGTGACCCTGATATAGATATATATATATATATATATATATAAAGGTAAATGAATATAAGTAATTGATCACGTGCAACAGTATTTGTGTCGATTTTCTTAATTATGCAGGACTGCATATAGTAGATCAAACAATAATGTAAGTTATCGTTTACTTATTATCGATAAGAATGTTATTTTTGTCCGTTCGTGTCATTCATTGAAATCGGACTTCTTGTTATCGAGTAATTCAATGAAATCGGTCTTCTTGTTATAAGCCTTTGTTCTTTAACGTTTTCAGCTGTCCAGCTGACATTATTTTTAATAACTGAATATACTGTGCGCATGTGCAACCTTTTTCCAACTGAGGTAATGACAAGCATTTTTATTCAAATGAAGTCGTATTTATATTAGCAAAGTTTTGATAGCTTATTACGACAAAACTGAACTATGTGTCTGCTTACAGCGAATTATCATTCGATAATTGTTTTTGTTAATGATTGAGCCGAAAAACTATACTTAAATTTTCGCAGTCAAAATTGTGTCTAATGCTGCCTTTTAATTTCAGCTTTATCTCTGCGAATAAAGTGAATCAAGTACAACTTATATGCGGTTTTAATGAATCGTAAGGGCCATAATTCCACCGAACTCTTGCCCCCCCCTCCCCAAAAAAAAATGCCCAAAAAACAAAATCGATCTGCGCATGGATCACTTTTTAGTTTTAAAATATTTAAAAAACGCATGCTTTTCATTTTCATGAACACGACAGACGTTTCCCTAATAAAAGACGAATTAACTTCCTGTATTTTGCCCTTAATTGAAAATGACACATTAAAAATTTCAGAACAATTCAAGGATTTTCATATGAGATGGTTTGAAGATATGTTAACAAAATCTTAAATGGCAACACATTCAGTCAAAGTTGACTAAAAACTTTTGTTGTTAATCTTGTTAGAAACTTGTATTTCTAATTATTTCACTCTTGTGTGTCTATAGGTCTGTAGTTACTGATGTTTGACTAAGGCTCCCTTATTCAAAGGTGATCCAATATGGTTTATGCTATTTGTTTTTGAATCACTAACTTATATGCGATTTCGAAATGGACATCTGGTGCAGCAGAATTTTAAATTAAGGATTATATCTAAATTATCACGGTTTTTATTTCCCCTGAAACTATACCGACTCCCTTACACATCTGTGACACAAATCTTGCCTCTGGGCATTCATGGTGAGGGTTAATTAGAAATTAAAAAGTGCTGATATCTCAAAGATATCGGAATGACTTTTTATTTACATACGTTGTAATCTACAGAACAGTTGGTGAAAAATACTAAATATGAAACAATACAATAGAGCAACAAGTGTTGGAAATTCAATACCAACATCATCGATGTAATGTACTTTTATTTCCGATAGAATAATCTGCAAACAATATTACGATACTCTCTAAGCAAATTTCCTTTACAAAGATCAGTTGACATAATCAAGGAAGTTGGAAGTTCATATTAAAATATTTTACTATAGGATATTCTCACAACAAGAGATTACCACATTACATAAGCTCCTGACATAATAATCACACAGACGAACGAAAAAAACAAACGAAGGGATGAATACAGGATATTAACTTTGTACTTCTTGTGAAACGGATTCCATTTTCTTGTCAGTTTTAGCGCAATAAAGCAAAAAAAAAAGTCAGCTATGATTAGGTTTTAACAACAGAAGTCTGAATATTGACAAAAGAAATAAATATTCACAGAACGGAGATGAAATTGAGCAGAAACGATTGCATTGCACTGATATTTGATTCCATAAAATGTACAGAAATTAATTTACGAAAAAGAAAATCGCATGACAAAAATATAAGTGAAAAATAGAAGACCACAGTTCCATGGGAACTATTTTGCAGTGCTGTGGTTTGAACATAAAATATTTACTATTAAGTAATAAATGTTGGAGTTCAGAAAACAAGAAATTATTCTGGAAAATACAACGGTATAAAAACGCCTTTAAGGGTAAAATTATATGTCATTAAATATGCACTATCACATATCAGTAAACTTTCAAGGTTTACATAATTAATGAATACATGCTTATTCTAAAAGCAAAATATATTACAATAATAACAGAGAGCCTATTAAAAGATTAAAACATAGTAGTTCTTTTGAAAATATTTTTTTTCTACTTTTCAGTGGAATGCTTCATACAGGTTTTGACGCACCTCTTGGAAGTTTAGAGCTGCACTGCATTCAACAATGTCAACTTCTTATATTTGATATACTTAACAGACTAGATCTACCATACAATCGCCTTGGGGCCACAATGGTAGCGTGGGATTCAGTTCAAGTAAAACAACATTTTCTTTTTTCAAATTTTCTTTTTTCAAATAAGAATACGTGATATGATTGCCAATAAGACAATCCATCAGACACCAAATGACGTAGAATTTAACAACTATAAATCATCGTGAGGTTTTAAAAATGGGAAAAACCCATACGGCAGAGCAAGCTTTAAAATGCCCCGAAATGAAAAATGTAAAACAATTCAAACGAGAAAACAAAGGGCCTGATTTATGTACGAAAACCATTGAATGAATACCAAATATTATATACAGCAACAAACGAAAACAACTGAAACACAGGCTCCTGACTTCGGATAGCTATATACAGAATGTGGCGGAGTTTACCAGTTCGGACACATGGGTTATAGTATGTCATGTTGTCTTGATTCACAACAACCATTGCCGAGGGCGTCTGTTTGGTTGTGCACAATGTATAAATTTAAGTTGACACAGCAGATGTCCATACCACCATTTTAGATAGCAATCACCTGTGTGTTTTCAGGAGAGTCTCCAATTTAAATGAAAGAATTTTATTTTGCAACAAGGGTACATATGTCAAAAAATGACGTTATAAGTAATAAGTTTGATATTTTAAAAAATATGAATTTTTTATGAAGGTTGATTTTGTTTTCACAAAATATTGAAACGATGACTACGATCTTTTTATGTTCCAATCAGTCAGTAGTGAAATCATTTGACAAGGATGAATGACCTTCTCATAAACGCACTTTTTGAATTTAAAAAAAAATCAATTTTAATCATAATAGATATAGGAAGATGTGGTATGATTGCCAATGAGACAACTCTCCATCCAAGTTACAATTTATAAAAGTAAAGCATTATAGGTCAAGGTACGGCCTTCAACACGGAGCATTGGCTCACACCGAACAGCAAGCTATAAAGGGCCCCAAAAAATTACTAGTGTAAAACCATTCAGACGGAAACACCAACGGTCTAATCTATTTAAAACGAGAAACACGTATGGACTACATAAACAGACGACAACTACTGTAATCAGATTCCTGACTTAGGACAGGTGCAAATATTTGCAGCGGGATTAAAAGTTTTAATGGTACCAAACCTTCTCCCTTTTCTGAAACAATAGTATAACATCACAACATAGAAAAACACACTATAAAATATCAATTGGAAGGCTTAACTCAATCAAAAAACGTAAATTAACACACATTGAACGAATAAATTTGACCTGTGACACCTGAATGCAAATACACAGTTAATGAAAAATTACAAGGGATAAATAACTAAAGTCAAAAGTAAATAAACAGGTTTAAACAAAGACAAAGTATGATATCACTGTGAAATTTCAAACAATTTATAGAAAATCATCACTTTTGAAGAAACCCGCGTCATATTATACACAGGTAAATGAAAATAATTTTGTTGTTAAGTATACTTCTTCTTCTGTGTGTATAAAATCTTCCATATCAAGAAATTTCTTTAATAACAATAAAACTAATCTAACACTTAGTACATATGGGGTGAATATCAACAATAAAAATATACAATTAGTGCTAGATAAAACTTCCTGTACAGGTCAGAACAGTATCTAAAGGAAAAAATGAAATAATTTTGATGTTCATAGTACGAAGAAGTGAAAATTTGTAGTAATTAAATACCAAATAATCTAACACGGAATTTGCTTTTAGTTTTCGAAGTTAGTTTTGCATGGGCTTGGTATTTCCCAATCAGAATTTTATTGTGCGGATAAACTTAATGTGCCGACTAAACGCGAAAATGTAGTTTTACTTGTGTTGTCTTGAGTCGTCGTCGTCCGAGTTATGCTTTATTATTTGAAGAAGAAAAGAGATCCGCCAACCTAGCACAGAACAGGAAAATATGCACCTCCCTTTTTCATTTTGTGTGATATGAGTGATTTTAAAATCTATCAATATACAAATTAGGAGATGTGGTATGAGTGCCAATGAGACAACCATCAACAGAAGACCAAAAGAAAGAGGATGTTCACAACTAAAGGTCACCGTTCGGCCGAACTTAACAGCAACTCCTAAATAATGGTTTGACAGAAATCGACCGAACATGCGCAAATTTTTCAACAGGACAAAAAGTTTTGTAGCTGCTAATTAAGTTTTTTATCTGAGTGATTTTTGATGAATACCAAATGAACTCATCATAGATACCAGGAAAGAAATTGTGTACGCCAGACTCGCGTTTCTGACTTAATTTCATTTTAAGTTATTTGACGATATATGCCTCTTCGTAAAGAGTAAATTATCAAGCTGCTTATTCAGTGTTCAGCATATTTCACATTCAAAAAGATTACCTTACAGAAAAAGGTGCGTTCAATCCATGAACTTATTTTTGAATATGATTTGATTGTAAGAATATTTTTTTTTAATTATAGATGTTGAAACTACCAATAATAATTCAACATTCAATGGTAGCTAACGTTTCTCAAGTTAATCAACTCAGTTTATCGCAACTTTATCAGAGAGAACCAAATTTGTCGCGAAATGCTGCTGGTGCAATACATATTCCAGGAGAAACCATAGTCGACCCTTGGTTAACACCTATAGTAATGGCCGAGCATGCACGTATAAGAGGTGCAAAGGTTTGTTTAGTAAAGGCAATTTAAAAATGCTATAGGTCATGGATAATACGGACGATGTTGTCAGCTTTATATATAAAGGTCTAGGCAGAAAGTTACTACAAACGCAAGCGCAATATTTGTGGTATGTCTGAATTTTTTATTTTCTTTTGGGACAATTACACAGAAACTTAGGTCTTCCATGCCATAGATTAAATGTCGAACGTGGTATAAGGTAAAAATTAAAAAAGTTTATCTCTTATTTAAACGTATCCATCACTAATTGAGTCGATATTGAAATTTTCAACGATTTTACTGTGAATATCGGCTGAATAATCCGTCCTCTTTTCATCGAATGAGATAAGACTTATCACCGGGTTTGTACTTGCACTATCAACACGACGGTGCCACTAAAAGAGCAGCATCTGCCTCCCTTTCGGAGCAGTAGAGATCACCCCCTGTTTTTGGTGGGGTTCGTGTTGCTCAGTTTTTAGTTTTCTATGTTGTGTTTTGTGCACTGTTATTATTCTTTTCGTCATTTTTTGTTTTTTGTCATTGTATTGTCAGTTTGTTTTCGACTTATGAGTTTTGTTTATCTTTGGTGTTTTTCGTTTCTGTTTGGCACGTTTTCATAGTTTTTGTAACGGCATAATTCTGTTACTTTATGTTTTCTTGAGATTTCTTTTGAATCTGATAGATATTCATTTTATTCTAAGATTATGATCTCAAGTGTAAATACAGATTATACCATTGCGTCAATTGTGTTACGATACTTCCCCACTCGAAACAGTTAAATTTCATATTCAAAACCGGGGCTTCTCGAGCATTTGGAATAATCGATATTTTGTTTTGTACGCCAGCGAATACTGTCTTATTGATGTTGGCCGCTCTGTTTCAAAATTAGCTTTTTAAAGGAATGTTATAAATTTAAAGTATATAACAAACAGAACTAACAGAAAAAGTCATTGTCCTTGTTTTTGAGATATAAGCCATTGAAACTTTAGAATTTAGAATTCCGAATATCTGAAAAAGTGTCAAAAACAATTCTTAAACATAACCGATTTAGATAGAAATCATCGTCGAACTGGCTTTAGAATAACATTTTTTTTCTGGAGAAAATCTGTAAGAAGTAAACAACAGTTAAAAGTGAAATAACATAAATACCGAACTCCCAGGAAAATTAAAAACGGAAAGTCCCTAATCATTTAAAATTTTCTTATCTCATCTACTGCAATTGAAATTGATTTATATATTTTTTGAATACAAGCCTTCAGTCTAGATTTTTTTTTTATTTCTCTAATCGATTAAACAAATATGTGATGTGGTTATAATATCTTTAAAAATTAGTATAGTTAAGTTTTAAGTCCAGTTAATGATTTCATGATTGCAGACGTTTTTTTTTTATAATGACAGAACCTGTTGTTGGAAAGAAAATAAATATGTCGTATGGTAATTTTCCGATTAAGGACTTGATGATATCCCACTTTGATTCATGTGTTGCCTTGAAGCTCTGAGATCTTGAATTAATCAAAAAAGCAGTCTTTGAATCTTTAGGTTTTACATCTGGTTGCACTCTGATAAATTAGCTATTAAATAACAAATCACTGTGAAGTGTTTTATAACATGTCCAGTTAATCACTTGTCACCTCATGGCGACAATGATTTTCAAGACTCATACATAAAACTCATTGTCCAAAGAAATTGACGAAAACGCATGATTTACTTGAATACTAAAATGAGATAAGGCACACAATTTTCATGAAAACCCTTTGTTTTACCAACAAACAATTTGGTTATGAATTAATAAGATGAAGCAGTAGTTTACAGTCTGACTTTGGTTTTCTATGTGATGTTTTGTAAAGTGTGTTTCTCTTTTCATGTTTGTCATGGCATGTCAATTTGTCAACGACTATGAGTTTGAATATCTCTTTGGTATCTTCCGCCTCGCCTTGACCGATATTTGAAACTCGTGAACCACCTTAAAAAATACGAGACAAGATAAAAAAAGAGGTTATTGCATGAATTCAATGGTATCATACGATCAAAGACTGCAAAACCATGTCGATGTGAAATAAGACACTTTGGTCAACTAATACTTGATCTTGACTGTTTAGCGTGTGTCGTGTCGTTTTCAGTTGTACGCTTTAATACCCCTGTTGGAGTGGAGGAGATTTATCAAAAGCACACCCCTGATAATGTATTTTGTCAACTTTTCTTTTTTCTTATGGCATAAATTTTATTATAAAAGTAAGGAAAATTTCTATCATGTTGAATATCGAATATAGTATTACCTTCATTAATTCAATAGTTTACTAGCTTGATTGATTGTATCTAAACATATAACTAAGAATAGTTTATTTACTTTCCGAGTTTTGTTTTGTATTTAACGTATACCCTGAAAAGAAATAAAACTACATTATAAGTAGGTGTATGCAGTTATGAACACGTATTGACCTACGTCCTATCGATACTTAGTTTAACATTGCAAAATGCAATGATTTTTTCAGACTTTTTATGACGTCTTTACACTAAATCTATCGGATGATATTTCAGTCTGTAAAAATAAGATGTATCTATATTAGTGGTTTTACTCGCCTTGACGGAGTCAAAAAGCGAGACATATGTATGCTGTTTCCGGCGGCGGCGGCGTCAACAATGTATTAGTTTGTGATTAGGTTTAGTTCATAGTGAACCACTAGTGGTAGGTCAATGATATTTGGTATGCAGTTGTATGAGCATTGGCACATCTCATTACCATGTAGATTATTTGGCCCCTCCCCCCTCAGTCAAGGTCTATTGACTTTGAAACTTTGCTTAGTTTACATGTATTAGTTTGTGATTAGGTCAGTTTATGAGAAACCACTAGTGGTAGGTCAATGATATTTGGTATGCAGTTGTATTAGCATTGGTACATCTCATTACAATGGAGTTTATTTGGCCCCGCCCCCTCATTCATGGTCTATTGACTTTGAAACTTTTGCTTAGATTTCATGTATTAGTTTGTGATTAGGTCAGTTTAAGGGGAACAGTTAGTGGTAGGTCAATGATAATTGGTATGCAATTGTATAAGCATTAGCACATCTCATTTCCATGGAGAATATTTGGTCGTTACCCCTTAGTCATGGTCTATTGACTTTGAAACTTTTTCTTAGTTTACATGTATTAGTTAGTGATTAGGTCAGTTTAAGTTGAACCACTTATGTTAAGTCAATGATTTTCGGTATCAATGCATTTGCAAGTTTCATTTCCATGGGGATTATATAACCCCACCCCCTAATTATGGTTCATTGACTTTGAAACTTTTACATAGTTTACAAGTTATTGTTTGTGTTTAGGTTTGTTTAAAGGGAAAGACTTATGAAAAGTCTTTGGTTTGCAGTTGTATTAGCATTGACACATCTCATTTCCATGGACATTGTTTAGCCCTGTACCTTAGGTCATGGTTCATTGACTTTGAATATTTGCATAACTTACATGTTAAAGTATTGCTATTTTAATTTTAGCATTTGCATTATCAAAATAACAAATAGGCGAGACATATCTCTGTGTTAACAGTTTATGTGTTCTTATAACTGATTTGTTAAGTCAAACATTTCGAACTGTTTTTCAAAGTTTGTTCTTATGTTGTGCAGTGACACCCCTTACCAACGTCAGGAGGATGGTTGCGCGTCCATAAACATGGTTAACTCCGCTACATACTTTATGTGACCAAGTTCAGTGGTTGTCGTTGCTTGTTGTCAGAGGTATTGTTTTTTCGTTTATTGGTTTTATCCAAGATCAGATTGTTGACTTTCTCTTTTAAAGTGGTTTGTATGGCAGGCCATTTATAGCTTACTATACAGTATGACTTTTGCTCACTGTTGAAGGTCGTACATTGCCGTGTAGTTGTTAACGCCCTTGTCTTTTGGTGTCTTGTTTAATCACATCTCTTTTTTTGTGTTCCATCAACAAAAAATTGCAATAATAAGAAAACATTTTTCTTTTGAACTTATTATAAAGAAATTATAAATAATCATCAATGTTTCATAATCACACACCGTTATGAGGGTGCGTTTGTTTTAGTAAAATTCCTGATAGCATGATATGTTATTCACTTAATACGCTAATCCAGAAAGTAGTTAGAGCAGGTTATGCCTACCTGAGCATCTATGATCATCCAAGGTTTGGTGGTGTAATAAATGGTTAGATTCGTGTTGCTCAGTCTTTATTCTTCTATGAGGTATTTTGTATTTTGTTGCTTGTTTTTTCGTCGTTTTTTTTTTTCAATGGTATTGTCTTTTTCTGTCCACTTAATCTTTGTAAATTGTCCCCTTGGTATCTTCTGTCTCCATTTACTGTGACTTGACTATGAGTGTTACTGTTTACCTTTACCTATTGTTCAACTAGATTGAAACATTGACAATACAATAGGGACATTTAAATTGACCAGTTAGTATTGTTAGATTTAAATCTACCTTGATGCTACCTGTAAAGATTTTTATTCACCTAACCAAAACTTTCAGCATGCTTTTTTCCTGAAGTTTTTCTTAACCAGGATTATTCTTTAAAACAAATTGAAAGAGAAGAAAATATTTTTGATCACTCATGTATTTTAATTAAGAGTCTACCTGAAAGTTTTCCTATCACTTCACCTGTTTAATTGTTACTGTTGTAGTATAACTGAGATAGGTTTTTTCAAAACTTATAAATATGGCATCAAGGCTTCAATTTTTATCTTTGTTGAATAACATAATATGCATTCAGTCTAAATTAGTTTATATGGTATGAATAATGCTAGAATATGACCACTTATGTATGATAACTAGACGGAAACTTATTTCATGTTCTTATATTTACTAAAAAATGCGAATTTAATAAAAAAAAATCCTTTTCTCTTGTTTTTTATTAGAGAATCTTAAAACAGGTAAAGAAATAAACATTGTTATTAATCTTTTTGTTATGGAAATGGATGTTTTCCCTGAAATAATTGGTCATACAAATGCCCAAAAAAAACACAACATTTAGAAGGAAAAAGAGTTTTTTATTTTACTGTCATTTACAATTTTAGGAGTAAGCAAGCCAGATCAAGACTATATGTTTTTTTTGCAGGGAATTTAATTGCATGTCGTATAATTCACTACACTTCCTCATAATGTTTACATAGCCAAATACTATGAGTGCTTGGATTTCTTGTTTATTGTTGAAAAAAAACCTTTATAATATCTCCTTGGCTTTTTCTAATGGGAAATAACTCAAAATAATTTGTTTTTGCTTCTCTGGAAATCTGAATTACTTGACTTATTTCCAGGATTAATAAACACCAGAACAACTGTGTACATTCCTTCATTTAGACATTTGTTTTTACACTTATTGACATGTTCCTTGTACAAATTGTTTATTCATATTCATATTGAAATATCAAAATTATATCTGAATGAACTATTTTATTTACTCTAATATTGACACTGATATTTTACATCTCATCCAGTATTCCATTTTCTTTATCTGAAATAATTTATAACATGTTCCTAATTATGAACGTTTTCGAATATTTGTTCACGCTTTTCACTATATAACTAGATTCTCTCTCTATATTCATATTCTGTTTAATTTCCCATGATATATATATCCCCAAAAACAGGTACAGAATTTTGCAATATTTGATTATTTCCATTATCATATTTAAAATGATTATCCTCACTTTACAAATATTTTGGATAAGTTTATTCATATATTTTCACTATATCACTTGATTTTACTATATCCACAGTATTGAGTTTTTATATCATTTACCAAAGTATATGTTCCAATTAAACAATATTAGATCCAGAACTTTATAATGATTATTTCCAATTTCACATTCACGTTATCCAAACGTTAGGAATATTTTGGAATATTTTACTTTTTCTTTTCACTTTAACACTACATTAGACTATATCCACTATATGAATATAACATTTTGTTTCATTTCCATGATATATATCCCATCTAAACAGGTGAATCACTCTTATAATATATCCCAAAATTTATAATGAATGTTTTCAAAATTGCATTTAAAGCCACAGAAACATGTTGGAATTATTTCTCCTTCTTGCATTCAAGTTTTGATTTTTTATAACCTTTTAGATAACTTAATCCATATTATGCAAATTGAATTTCCTTGAGTGAACACAGTATTTTTTGCACAAAAATACTAGTCCTCTTATAAGAGATTTCAAAGAAAAACACTGCAAGGTATACTCCAATAGTATTATGAATTTTACATGTACATCATCATGTTTAAGCCACACAACACATTTTGAATGAATTAATTCCATCTTCATACCTTCATGACAATCCATTCTTAGAAAAAACAAGTCACATTTTATGAAGCAAAATTACTATGAAAAGGCATCTAAGAAGTGAATTCAAATAAAATGAATCCAATCTGTTATGCAAATTGATTCCAATAGATTTCAAATATTTCAAATATCAAAATCCAAAATGAAAATCTTGAAGGGACATTATAAAGAAATGCACAACATATAATCCATCTGAAAATTGAAACTGAAAACACCTGGATAGCTCTTTCTTGTTTCACTAACAACTGGACAATACTATGTATGAGGGTTAAAAATTTAAAGAATCATTTATTATGTATAAACAGTTTTAATTTTCATACATATTAATATGGAGTTAATAAAATATTTTACTGATTAAGATTTTTTGGTAAATTTTAGAAATATTATCAATACTGGGGATTTAAAACAATGAAAACCAAAAATATTTCTACCTTTTCAATTTTTTGATAGAATAATCCTATGTCAAGAAAAACTTCAGGAAAAAAACATGCTGAAATTTTGGGTTAGGTGAATAAAAAGCTGTACAGGTAGCATCAAGGTAGATTTAAATCTAACAAAACCAACTGGTCAATTTAAATGTCCCTATTGTATTGTCAATGTTTCAATCCGGTTGAACAATAGGTACAGGTAAACAGTAACACCCATAGTCAAGTCACAGTAAAATAACATGTTTTTGTTTGTCTTAGTACATGGCGAATTGCTCTTTCAGTTTCATTCTAGCTGATAAACCACAAATCTAACTCACTTGGCATAATTTCACATACAGCAGCTGAAGAGGAATTTTCAGCCCTCGATGGTGTAATCAACATAGCAACCAGTGCTCTTGAATTGCCATGATTTAAAATTATACAATGTATTCAAATTGAATTATACAAAATTCTTAGAAATATCTTTCTATAATTCTTTGGCAATTTAACCTTTTCCGGACACATTGTATAAAAATTGATCAACGTGTGATTGCCGATGATCTAAAAAGATGATTGGATGAATTTAAGAATAAGCTCACTGGATGAATCAAAATGTGCTAACAGGTGTTAATGAAATTGACAACTTTGTTGAATGTGGAAGGCACTCGAAGGGATTTTCGTTTATCAAAAAAAAATTATTTGATAATTATTGAAAAACAGATTCTTACATAGTTACCCGTAATCCACCGGTACCAATGTAAGAATCTATATTTCCACAACTAAGTAGGGTTTATAGATACCTTTCTTTGATATCTAAACGTACCTATTACTGATATAAACATGTTAATGGTATATATACATATATATGTGAAGTCAAACACTGAAGTGCTAGTTTAATACCACAAGTCGAACTGCTACCAATACATATATTTCTTTTTTTCTAGATATATACAAGTACATTGGTCAACAATGTTGAATTTAATGATAGTAATAGGACATGGAATGTTTATACGAACAAAGGAAACGTTGGAAGTAAAACAGTTATAAATTGTTCGGGTCTGTATGGCGATATTGTTGAAAAGATTGCCGGATATTCATCTTTCAAGTAAGTGCCATAGTATTTTAATAACGACTTTGACATATTGTGTCCTAAGGAGGAGATGTTTTTCGAAGAATGCTGGATTTCCATTGAATCCAGTTTTATTAGGCAAACATGATAAATGAAAACGAGCACAACATGCACATCTTGTATACTTTAACACATAGACGAAATTCCTGAATCATTTACTTATATAGTGAAATACAAACATCAAATTGGTATAGTTTCATATTAAATGGACACCAAAAATCAAGAGTTAAAGGACAAAAAATGAATTTTATTTATGACGTTTTTTCAAAATTCAAAAATATTTTTCATGGTGTAAGTAAGGTACACATTTGTATTTGTATTAAGATGTCAAAGCCTACATTTGCATGTATGGTTTATTTCAAACAGCAATTAATTTCCCATGTTCTCGATAATATACGAGAAGTCATGGATTTGTACAAGGCAAATTGTAAATATAGCAATTTTGATGTCACTAGGATGTCATAAACATTTTCAAATTGACCTATTCTTCTTAAATGGCTATTTTACACATTGTTTTTGGTGCCCACAGCCTTAACCGAAAAGATAATAAATCCATATTATCATTTTTGTATATGATATCTTGTAGCAAAAAATTAGTTGGAAATTTTCACATTTTGCAGTAATGGAATAACTTAAAAGCAATAAAACAAATATGCAAGACTTAATTAAAAAAAAAAAACCGTTATCTTACAGACTTTAATAAAGGCAACATAGTATACCGGTGTTCAAAAGTCATAAATCGATACAATACAAACTAAAATAAGTCTTGAGAACAGCTGAAGCATAATAGATAAAGATATCCATATACTCGCAACTTACTAGTGTCTGCCATGGTTAGATGATAAATTTTGAAGTAAATAGTTGCGTCGTGATTTAATTGAAAATGTTCGATTGTCAAGTATAAAGTTTGTAATTTTGTTATTACACAACAACTCAGGTAGTTATTCCTCAAATGTTAGAAGGTTTTGGTTGTTCTGTTTATGCCCTATTTTGTTTGAATCGCATTTCAAAATTATTATTTCAAGGGTATTTGATGAAAGTTGTCAAAAACTTTTGCACAAAAATCGATATCAATCCTGTATATTACTTCTATTGAGTCCGTATCGTTGATCAATCCCTGCGAGTACAATCGGTCAATTATGCAGTGATCCAACTTTATAAGTTATTTTACTTGCATGATTTGGATCATTTATTACTATTATCATTTTTATTGATAGATGCTGTTTTATTATAAGTCGATGACAACTTCTCCGGTATGGTTGACGTCAGTCCATTTTTTCAACCGTTTTACGCGATTTTTGTCCAATTATATTTGAGAGTACCCAACAGGATATCCGCAGTCAAAAAATAAAAAAAATTGTCGTGCGCATTTTAGTAGACATCTTATGTTATGTTCATACTACTGGGTTAATAAAGCTGCCTATCAACCCTAATACCCAACGCTGCAAGAATCAGTGCATCGGTGCAAGGCAAGCATGATTATGATAATGAAAATATTCAGACGTTAAGCAACTTATTATATCTTAGTGTTGATGTTATATCATTGTGAAAAATCGACCATGAAAGGCTTTTAATAAGTTCTTTTTTGTAAGCATCCCTAATCATTTTATGCATCCGTGTGGAACTTTTCTACAGGGGCTAAAGTGTGGGATTATATTTTGTGAAGGAATTCAATGTATACTAATCTACGGGTCTTTAAATACGATTTATGAAAGAGTAGAAAACTAAATAAAATGAGTTTTTTTTATTAATATATTTATGTATTATTTGTTACGAAATTTACGTTTTTAAAGGAGGGAATGTGCTATATAAGTCGCCCATGTTGTTGTCCTTTGAAGCCAAAACTTCCTATTGCTTTAAATAATGTAATAACAGATAGGAAAACTACACCAATGCAGACATGAAATTCTAGCAAAAAGCTGCTAAAAATAATTATTTAATTGTAATACCATGAATACCTTAAAATGGTCTGTCTTCCTACCGAAAGTACCTCCTAACCCTTTTATATGTAGACAGATCATTATTATTGAATCTTACGTAGTTTGATTGATTTTATTGCTTTACCATTGTTTCACCTGTTTAAAATGTCCCTTTGTGTTTTATGACAGTGTGTGAATGTATTTTTTTTTATAAAGGCATGGATGGTAACTCCAACTTAAAATGCTTTTTCATTCCACTAGTACACATTTTGTTTAGGGGTCAGTTGAAGCCCGCCTCCGGGTGCAGGATTTTCTCGCTGTGTTGAAGACCCATTAGTGGTTGTCGGCTGTTTTCTGCTCTTTGGTCGGGTTGTTGTCTCTTTGACACATTCCCCATTTCCATTCTCAATTTTATTTAAAGAAATACAAAAAGTACTGTTAATGATCAATTTGAAATGATAGTTTTGGTTTGCGTTTTCTGACTTTCTTTCAAACGAAATGTACAAGCTTTTAAAAATTGACTCATTGATTTACTATAAAGGTATGATAAAACAACTGTTATACTTATTATATCATTATTTATCTGTTTTGATACAGCCTTTAAAATATGATAATATCCTGTATTTCATTAACTTGTTATCCCAAAACAGGTTATAATTTACTTTTATTTTTACACACACATATTCTATTAAATAAAGAGCTGCGCCAAGGACGCATGATACGTCCGTCGCCTTTTTAGTTTTGATGATCTTTCAAAGAAAAAAAATCCATAACTCCGCAATGTCATATCAGAAATAAAAAAAAAAAAAAATAGGGAGCTTATTTCAATAGATATAAACAAGTTACCGTAGCCTCATGCAATTTTCTATCTCGGAAACGTAAAATCTAGAATTTATCAAAATCAAAAGAGAGCTTACGTCAATAGATATAAACAATTCACCAAAGTTTCATGAAAATTGGTGAAAGCGTTTTTTGAGTTATTGTTCGAAGTGCTAACGACGATGGGACGGACAGACGGACAACGGTATACCATAATACGGGCGTATAAAAACCGCGTCCTTGAAAAAATTGAAAAACAAGATAACAGATCATGCAATTTCATTCGTTAAATTTGGGCAACAGTAGTTTACTGATGTGAATATCTCTTAAATAATGAGGAAGAAAAAAAAAAAAAAAAAAATCAAACTGAGAGAAACATACGGACTCCAAAATGAGCGCGATTGTGTGCGTTGACAGCGCAAGCTGTCCCTGCTATGCATGACTCATCCGCCATTCTAATTAACACTCAGTCATATGTCACAATCGGGAATAGCACACCCTCGGTAAATTTACCGCTCTGGATAAGATGCTTATACTGATATCTTAAAATCAAAGACCGCAAAAGCATTCCCGTTGTGACTTGAGACACCAGCATGTCATATCTGACAATAACTTCTAAATCATTTGGTGTCTGAAGGAGAGTTTCTCATTGGCAATCATACATCTCTTCTTAATTTTTAAACTATGTTGTCCTTCAAAAGTTTAGCAGTGTGATGATAAATATCTTTGTTGTTGTTGGAATCAGTGTGGTGCTTCACTAAAAGAAGGAATCTGTATCTACATTTTTCATTTTTGTAGATAAGCTCTGTTTGATGAGACGATGCAATATATCTTCCAATTGGGCATGTTCAATAATAGTGTTATGCGTAGAAAATCTAACGTTTTGATATTATTGCAAAACTGTAATTGATTGTGATTGAAGATTGTGTAGTAGATCTTTAGAAATTATAAGATGCTAAATCTGATTGACACTAATGGTTAAATATACATCTTCACATTATAACTGCAGTCATCTGTAAATGAAGAGAGAATCGAGGTACAAACTTTAGAAAGATGTGTACTCGAATTTCTTGACGATCCGGCTATATGTCGTTCTTTATTATCATTTTTGTGATAATTAGGTATCCAGTATTATGACGGGAGATTTTTAACGTCGTTTTTTTTTTATGTCAGTACCAAGGAGAAGGACAGATTTGTGAATATCTAACATCTAGTTGATGGGCTGGGGATTTCGATATTTTGAGCCTTTGGCTAGGAACTCTCTAAGCTGTTTATTGTTTATGATGCCTCCAGTTATAACATGACCAGCAGGACTATATGTGTATGATGACGATGAACAATCAATCTTGATGTTTAAAGTTGTACATCCCCGAGGCTAAAAGTCCCTTATACCCTCTTGTTCAAAATCTTGGATGCAATAGGTTTCTTGTATGTTTATGAAGTGTACTTTTATCTTTGAAATAATCAGGCAGATATTTATGTTGCATTTATTACTAATATTGATAGCTTCCAAACCCTTATTAAAGAATTTCATTCGAAAACACTACCTTTTTCATCGTCTTTTATGTAGTTGTCACGGATTTAAATAGCAATGTCCATAATTATTTCAACCAATCTGTACTTTTGTATTAATAACAGAAGTGTGTTGGTCTCTAGAAAATAGAAAATGGAGTTTAATTAATGGTATGTACAGAACAAAAGATTCGTTTAAATATAGTGAATTCCCAAAGGTTAAAAAAGCTATTAATTTGAATAGAAATTAAAACGACAGTAGTTTATGATGTTCAAAACTCGTAAATCGATTAGAAAGAGAAAATAAAGGTAGCAAAGAAATACTGAGGGGATGGCAGGACTTCCCAAAGGAGTGAGATCGGATGCATGGACAGGGTAAGCGTCTCCTACTATGCATGCATCACCCGCGATTCCAATTCACAATGAGGAACATTGGAATAAATATTACGCTTGTCTATCAAAATTAAAAAAAAAAAAAAACGCTGGTGACTTGATTTAACAGAAAAAAAGTATTTTTTCTGTATAGTTATGCTGTTCTTATTCCAATTAAACCCAAACAAAAGCGTGGTTCTCATTTGTGTATGTATGTTTTAAACCATGTAAATAACAAACAATCATAGTGTTATTGTTACGACACCCTGTTTATAAAGATATTAATATATCAGGGAACCTTGTTCGTGATGAGTGTAACAACAGATTTAGACTAATAAATTAATTATCATTGTC